GATCATGGTGGCACTTACACAACTAACAGAACCCATCCACTGGTACTCTTATAGATGATGTATTGCTAGTGTATATGGACTTAGGTTGATAAATGTGATTATAAATATAAATCCCAAGCAACTAAAAATTATAAATTCTAAGTGAGCCACAGTTTCACCATTCTTTTTTTTTTTTTTTTTTTTGGTAAGATTTGTTTATTTATCCATACAAGCACTGGGCACAGTCAGAAGCGCGGGAGGGTAAGAGGATTCACCAGAGCCAGAGTGGGGAACAGAACAGGCAGACCGAAGAAATACACTGCTGAGGGGAGCAGGGGGCACTGCAGGAGAGGTCTGCCGCGCCATGTGGGACCCTCGCCAGCCAGCCAGGATCAAACCAGCGCTGCAGAGGCTGCAAACAGCTTCACGGTGCGGCGCTCCACCGCCTGCGCCACCAGGGGAGGCCCAGTTTCACCGTTCTTTTTAGGAACACCTCTGAAGAAATTACCTCACTCTTATTTTGTAAAAAAGAATATCTCTTGAATGTATTTTAATAGGATATTTTAATGCCTATGAGTTCTTAAAGCCACAGTTCAGTGTGCAAATGCTCACTGTGGATTGAGAAGATGGGCAGAACCATGCGTATGTTTCTCCCACAGCCATGATGTTATGATCCTAATGCTGCTTGCTTTCTTCTTTAGCCCTGGAATGAGACCAGACGTAAACTCCCCTCCATCCAGCTCCTCAGCAGCAACAGGACCACCTCCCAAACTCTGCCTTGTGTGCTCTGACGAAGCTTCGGGATGTCATTATGGGGTACTGACTTGTGGAAGCTGCAAAGTATTCTTCAAACGAGCAGTGGAAGGTAGTGTGTATTTTGAAGAGTTTTATTTTTCTCTATTTGGTTCCTACTTACGTGCAGGGCTAGAAGTCAGTAAAGCCGGGAGAAGAGAGCGACTCCTGGCTCCTCCAGTGAGTGAAAAAAGAGATTTTAAAAAGATACTGAAAAAGTAACAAGTAGAACTAGAATAAAACAGGAAAAGTTTGGTCTAAGAAAGTGCTACTTTTGTCAAATGAAATGTTAAGTTTGAGTGGTAACATAATGCTCTTTGTATTAGAATCATGAGCTTTAATTCCCATAAGCTGATCTTAAAGCCACCCTGTAGTCTAGTGTGGAGAAATGAGTGACAGTGAGATGGAGAAGGGGGAGATAATTTCATTAGTGTTTGGTTTTTTCCTCCTTTTGCCCCAGAGATTGTGATAAGTTGTATAAAATATGACTTTAGTCCTGATACCTGCCCCCCACTCCTGAAGTACAAGATAATGACAAGGTACAGAGGTTATAATACAAAGGAACAAGTGGTAAATAAATTGCCTGAGGGCGTCAGGAAAGAAGGTATTTTAGAGAAGGCACTCTAACTATTTTAATATTATATTGATAGAAACTTCACCCTTGTTAGGGATTCAGCCTTCTGACAAGGGAAGAAGGATCCTCTTCTTAAAGGAGAAATTCATTCCATAGCAAATTATTACCGGAAGTCACTGTAAAATTTTCTGATATTACCAGTGAATCCTCTTGGAAGAAATCATTATTGCAGTTTACTTATTTGTAAATCACCGTGAAGGCACTGTGAACTGAAGGAATTATCTAAAACTGATTAATTTTTAAAGAAGTATAATTATTCATTCATAGTATAATCTCTTCACTCACGGAGAGGATTATTACTCTTTGGTTGTAGTTGTGTTTGCATATCCTTAAGTTAGATGAGTCATTTTCTTTGTTAACACCGAGCACAGGGCTGCCGACTTTGAGGAGTGTAGTAGCTCCCAACTAGGCAGTCGTAAGTAAAGCCCACCCCCATTGTAACAGGATAGATGTAACTTCAAGAGAAGTAAGCCTCTCGTCCTCACTTGACTTTCATAGTCAGCATTTTCTTAAACAGTTATTTCTATGATATAAATGCAATGATAATAGCAATAATATGACATTGCTATACATTACTGACACATTCATTTTTGAAAGTGAAATTCAGAATGAGACAGTGTAGCCTTAAATATGGGCATTTAAAAAACATTTTTCACTCTCCATTTGAACTAAAATTATTCTTTCAAAGAGGGTTATAAATTTAAATGCCTACAGATACTATGTGTGTTTCCATTCTGCCAAACATACAATGCCACAAGAGGCAAGATGGCAGCACTGATAAGTAGAAAATGCATGCCCGCCCTACCTAAAAGCATCCAAATGCAATGTAAAAATGAGAACAAAATGCTCCCAAGTATGACTTCACTTATAAGCCATATGCCCTTTGAGCTTAAACCCTGCTTTAATATTAAATTCTTATACTTCTTTTTACATGATTAATGAGAAAAGCTTTAAATATGGACTGTTATAACTACTAGCTACTGTATGGTTTGTAAGATGCACTTGGCACTCTGTTTTTAAAATCGCTTAGGAATTATCCCAAACAGAATTGTTTTTTAGGACATCTGCAGATGTTTGCCTTATTTGTTGCCCATACCACTTAGGTCAAGGGTGTATAATTTTAATTTTTTTTCCCCAACATTCTGGCAGTTACTTCTCCGCATACAGGAAAGAATTTTGGGTAGCTCCATTTCTTTTGATGTACACCAGTTCAGTGACCTCTTCTCCCCACTTTCTTCCTGGTTCCTTTTTCTTACATTCACTTGACATGAAAGTTCACATTTGGAGGGTCATAATGGAGATAGGCACCCTTAATTCATCGTGTACCAACTTTTTTATGTATGTCATGCCATTTAAGTAATGGTTCTGTGAGTTTGTTAGATGCTTAAATGGCCCGTATTTGATAGACTAGGAGACTGAAGCTCAGGAAATTTAAGTGAGAAAGCTAAGATTCAGACATAACTATCTCCAGACAGACTCTAAACCTCATTGGTATACTGAGAGGTAAATGATAAAAGGTTTTTCATCAGATAAGTTTATAATCCAGTTAGATACTGAGATGAAAGTATCACAAGGAAATTATTTAATAGCTAACATTTATGGAGTGCGTACAGTGTGGGAGGCACTACTGTAGATCCTTTCTCCAAATGCCTCAAACCCTTGCTGTAGTCCAGAAAGGTAGGTACAGATTTTCCACCTTCACAGATGGCACCCTACTGGTATACCGTTCACTGTATACACTGCTGTTGAGAGCACATTTAATTCTCAGACACTTCTAACAAGACAGACACAGAGCAGAAAACTCTAGGGCATTTCCTGTGTGTTTCCTTGCGTGTTGTCCACTTCTTGCACTACTTTCATGATCTTGCATGTTTATGCATCACTGCTCTACTTGACATTTTTTGTGTACTACTTTTTAGAACTTAAATTTATTACATAAAAATAACTTTACTATCCCTACTAAATTAGTTATATATTGCTGCATCACAAATTACCCCCAAAATTAATGCCTTTAAAGCAAATAGGGCCTTCCTGGTGGCGCAAGGGGTTAAGATGCAACTTATGAAGCTAACTGCCGCCACTGCAGCAGGAGTTCAGTCCCCCACCAGGGAGCAACCCACGTGGCGCAGCAGACCTCTCCTGACTCGCCCTCTGCTCCCCTCAGCAGTGTATTTCGGTCGATCCACCTGTTCTGTTCCCCACTCTGTCTCTGGTGAATTCTTACCCCCCTCCCAGCACCTCTGGCCTGTACCCCCATTCTTGTATGCATAAATAAATACATCTTTTAAAAAAAAATAGTTGTCACATCCTAGAATTCATGAGTCAGGTGTTTGGGAACCGCTTACTAGCTGGGGAGTCCTGGGAGTCTCACGAGGTTGGACTGTTGGTGGGGGCCACAGACATCTGAAGGCTTGACAAGGGCCAGAGGTTCCACTTCCATCTCAGTAACATAGCTTTTGGCTGGAAACTTGAGTTGTTCTGCCTAGCAGCCGGCATCTCCTTCACTTTGTTTAAAATTGTAAGAACACATTATTTGTAAATGGTGGTAAAATGTTGAATGAAAATCAGTTTCCCTCTAGCTCCATTCCATGTTGTCTTGCAAATATTTTTAAACAGGTTTCACATTAGGTCAGAAGTCATAAAACTAATGACAGACAGTTAACTGTTAATAAGAGAAAGCTATTTAAAGCACAGTTTATCAAGAAAGAGATCACATTTGGTGGGTAGTGAGTAGAAAGTGGCAATAATGGGGTTTGTGGGTTCATCTTTTGCATTTTGACCTGGGAGTTGATTATTTGGGGGTGTTCAGTTTGTGAAAACCTATTAAGGGTGGAGGAAAACGGTATGTCCATAAAAATATCCTTTAAGATCTGTAAATTTTTATTTTCTATATAGGACAACACAATTATCTTTGTGCTGGAAGAAATGATTGTATCATTGATAAAATTCGAAGAAAAAACTGCCCAGCATGCCGCTATCGAAAATGTCTTCAAGCTGGAATGAACCTGGAAGGTAAATACCTGAATAAAATTTTACAAGCAAGGAGATACAGATGTGCTTATTTAATATAGTTTTATGTTACTGTATCATCTGTATTTATGTCCATTTTTCTGACATTTTACTTTGACAGCGTATGTTTTATTAGACATCCATAGAGGGAAATAAGGAGGCAGGTTGAGTTTTGTTAGTTTTGTTTTCTCAAGTGAAGAATTGCGTTCCTGTCTATTGAAGTTGTATAATCAACATTTAAAAACGTCTCTGAAAAAATGTTTAGAATTCACTTTAGTTGAAATTGCCAGTTCCAGGAAGGTGGCGGTACAGTAACCTCTGTGCTCAGTCTAAGTAATAGCCCTTTCAGCCGGCAAGTACCGGTGCTAACATGCGGTCTGATTTCCAGGCGCTCAGTCTCCGGTTAGTGTCTGCCCTCAGTCGTAAGATGGGGCATGGCACACTGCAAAGGAACAGAACGAGAGGAGGGAGGGGCACCTATTTTTCAAAGGCTAATCTCCAATAGGAGAGTAACATCCAGGCGAGACAGGGTAAGAATGAAGAAACCCGGCGTCTGGCACTAGACCAGGAATGCACTGTTGGTGCCAGTGCGGTTTGTGTATGTATTTGTGAGTGGACTGAAGCATTTACGTGCCCAAACCACGCTGTTTTCTAGTTCTCTTACAAAAGCTTTTTATTGAGGTGATCTTGCTTTATGACACGGTTTTAGGGGTGTAGGTTCACACCTCCCCACCCTCCCTTTTTCTGGTGGCCTTAGCCCTGCAGTCAGATTTTAAGAGCCTGTTCCTTGGTTTGTCTGTTTATTCCACATGTGAAGGAAGCCATCCAGTATTTGTCTTTCTCCTTGTGACTGACTTCCCTCTAGTTCCATCCATGTTGTCAAAAATGGCAAATGTTCAGTGTTTTAATAGCTGAGTGGTATCCATTGCGTGTGTATAAAACACATCTTCGCGTACTCATTTCTTCCTATTACGTGAATAAGAAAAAAATGTGTTTGTGTTAGTCCATTGTACCCCAGTGTTTTCTAAATGTCACTTGGATGGCTTAGACTTCGGCGCGATGTCAATAGGTTATGCATTGATTTCAATAACATAATTGCTGCCCATCACCGTGGAGGTGGTTACAAAAAGCTACAGAGATTATCATTGTGGAACTGTAAACTTGTACATAATTTCTTTGTGATATAAAAAACAATAGTTGTTCTTCACTCTCTTACATACCAGAAGTCTGCCCAGCTTTCACTGAGTTTCATTTTCCCATCCTAATCATTGAAATACATTAGGCATTTATTTCACTTTTATTAATATGTTTAGAAATAAGTTTGCTCACAGCGAAAACCTCTGGACTACTCTCAGTCACGAATATGGAATGGTGGTTGACCCAGGAACACTGTAGAGGCTTCTGAATGCGCAGCGAGCCCCATTTCTAGGTCTTCAGGATGTAATGCTGGAGGGGTGAGAAGAGACGGTAAGGAGAGGGACGCTCCTGGGTGGGAGGAAGATGCGGAGGGAGCGTTGAGGCACAGAGGGGGAGAGGCAGGTGGGCTCTAGACACACGGGGAGGCTTGCAGAGCATAAAGACGAGCGCTGCAGGAACATGAGAAGTCGAGGGGGAGAGAGAGAATGGAGCAGAGATGCGGCGAGAGGAGAGACGCAGGAGAGCGAGCAGAGAAGAGAGGGGAAGACCTCTGCGCACACAGGAGGATGAAGAGGAAAGGCGGGCCGGACAGGGTGCAGACAGAGTGCAGAGAAAGCGCGAGGGGGGCATCTCTACGCAGACACACACGACGGGGAGAGCGCGGAGTCCAGCGATACAGAGGGAGGGAGAGGCCAGACGAAGAGTAGGAAAGGGCCAGGTCACCGAGAAGACGGCCAGAGGCGCACGGGCGGAGAAGGAAGAGGAGCGGGTAAGACAGGAGCAAGACAGAGGGCGGGACGAGTGGAGCAACGACGCGGGGAGAACATAACGAGGGGGTTCGGGGAGAACTGGAGAGACACGTGCTCTCCGGACAGACAGGACGGCTCCCGAGGGGCAGCGGAGAGGAGAGAGGCAGGGCGGGCGAGGGGCGGCCCGAGCAGGAAGAGGAGGGTGGGGTGAGCAGAGGGCCCGGAGCTCCCCCAGCGAGCATATCAGGAGCGCGAGGTGAGAAGCCAAAGTGGGAGGACCCAGGAAAGTGAAAGCGGAGAGATGAAGGAGGAAGTGAGGGAGAAAGAGAGAGGAGCCGGGACTCACTGAGGAGGGAGGCCGTCGCGTCGTGGAGAGGCCCAGAGCAGAGGAGAGGGAGGGAAGAGGAGAGCACGAGCGCAGTGCGGAGAGGGGGACAGAGGAGCGGAGACGAGGGAAGGAGATGGAGGCGATGGACAGGCGGCTGGAGGAGACAGGGAGCGTGCGGTCCCTACACAGCAGAGGCCGGAGAGCGCGCGGGCGGAGAGAAGACAAGACGTAGAGGAGACGAAGGAAATGCAAGGGCGAGCTCCAGAGTGGGAGTTGGAGGAGGAGAGGCAGAAGCTAGAGGAGAGCTCCAGGCGGACACGGAGGTGGAAGAGCAGAGCGGGCAGGCAGAGGTGCCCAGGGACAGAAGAGACACGCGCGAGGGGGACGGGAGACAGGAAAGAGATCCGAGGAGGTGGGGAGGGAGAAGGGGGGGCAGATGGAGCACCTCAGGCAGAGAGTGGGGGTGAGGGGAAGAGTAGAGCGAAGAGGAGACAGACGAGAGAAAGGAGCTACAAAGGAGCTACCGGGAGAGGAGAGACTGGGTGAGACGCCGACGCCAGCCAGGAGAGAGCAGAGAGCGAGCAGAGACACGGAGCAAGGAGAGGGAAGGAACAGAGTGGAAACTGATAGGGAAGGGAGGAGACGAGATCTCTAAGTACACTCCCGCGCGGGAGGAGATGGGGAGAGAGGACTGCGGAGATCAAGATGGATGGAGAGAGGGGAGAGACCCAAGGGAGAGCGGAGAGAGAAGAGGTGAGGATGAGAAGGCGAGGACAATGGAGAGAAGGGACCTAGAGGAGTGGAGAGAGAGCAGAGAGAGAGCTGGGGGGAGAGGAGAGCTGACAGGAACCCAGGGTGAGATGGCGGGCGGGAGAGAAGAGTAGAGCAAGCACCACCCAGCCCGGAGGGGAGGGTGAGGCCAACGGAGGTGGAGGGGCGGGTACAGAGACAGCCGGGGAGGAAGAGGAGACTGGGCAGCCCACAGACGAGAGGAGAGGGAGGGGACAGAAGTGGTGCGGGTAGGACAGAAGCAGGACGGAGAGGAGAGCACAGAGAAGGAGCAGAAGGGCGGAGGAGACAGAGGAGAGAGAGAGGGAAGAAAGGAGTTCGAGATCCCGAAGACAAGGAAAGGCGAGCACAGGGAGCTAGCGGAGTGAAGAGCGAGAGATGCGGGAGAGGCGCGAAAGGGAACACCAGCTCAGAGTGGGTGCTCGCGTACCTCATCCTCGCAGGCCTCCCGCAGGCTCCGACACGCACAGGGAAGATCAGTTTTCTTTCAGAGTTTGCTGACTTCAAACCGCAAGGCAAACCAACATCCTCATTTTCACAGAATCATTTCAGAACACAACACGTCTGATCAATCAGTGCTGCAGTTTCTCAAAACACTGTATTAAAAAGCAACCATATTCAAGGGTTTTATAGTTGGCAATAAAAAAAATAACGCTAGGGTGGAAACTAGCATTTATCAAGAGCTACTCTGGGCCTCCCCGGTGGCGCAGCGGTTGAGCGCCTGGCTGCGAAGCTGCCCGCAGCCTCTGCAGCGCTGGTTCGATTCCTGGCTGCTCCCCGGCCGCCGGGCGAGGGTCCCACATGGCGCGCAGACCTCTCCTGCCGCCCGCTGCTCCCCTCAGCAGTGTACTTCGGTCCTTCTGCCTGCTCTGCTCCCCGCTATCCAAAATCCAAATAGGATATCCTATTTGGTATGACTTGGTAGATGATGTTTTGGGTCTGGGAACACTCAAAAAGTTTCTCCACAGCAGTTAATGGTGGTAGCCTTCCCAGAAAAGAGAGAACCTAATAGGAACATTATGCTTTAAGATGAGGCTACAGTTGAATATATAGAACCTTTATTTCAAGTAGGTGTGTGATCGCTGCAAGAAATGTCTGGCTGACTATAATACTTAGGAAGGATCCAGATGAGTCATGTGAAGTTTCATCCTTTTCTTCTGAAAACACCTTGACAGTATTTAGTTGACCAGACTGCTTTCTCCACAGCCTCAGAGACCTTTGCAGGGGCAGTCATTTCCCTCCAAGTCCAGTTCTCCCCATAAATGTAACTTAGTATCACCGGTGATGTTGTGATACTGTTGCCTTAGATACCAAATTATTCTCAAGCTTTAAGGCACCCTTCCTCACCCACTAGAACCTGGCACTTGAGTACACATGAGTTTAATGGTGATGCTAAATGTTTTATACTTGTTTCAAGGTGTATTGGTTTATGCCAAAAATAAAGCTATAATTTTTGAATGAACAGAATCAAGTAGGACGTACAGGCAAGAAGGCTTATAACATTAGTACCTCATATTTTTAAGTGTAGTTTTATAAGCCATCAGCTTTCTTTACCTTTCCCTCCCCACCCCCAATGGAGCTATCACAGATTCATGAACACTTCTGTAGAGAGAGCTTCACTACTAACCTATCGAGAGATTATATATATTGCAAAGGACCAGAAACACTACACAGAATAAATCTTATTGACTAACTTGCTTAAAAACAGTGATTGCTTAACAATTCCTTGCTAAAATTACAGGGAAACATTATGGTACATTTTGTTTTATACTCTGTGCGGCACTCTTGGGCTCTGTAATGCTGGCTGAGCTTTTTCAAAAGTATTGGTCTCTCAACGAGTACCACAGATAGATGGCAAGACATTTAATATACCGAATCACAGAAATCGTCTAACTTGCCATCCTGTGCTCTTTGTTCTTCTAATGTGGCGGGTAGGAACACATATCCTAGACAATTTAAAGTGATGGTTCACTGAGGTTGTCATGATACTGTTTCTGTATTGATTTGGCACGTGCATGTTCCGTGATTATGGATTTCAGTGAGAGTCCTTTTCTATAAGGAGCTCTTTTTAAAAAATATTACTCTCCTGTACTATCTAAATTCAAAATATTCTAAAATTATATTGGCCTACAAATTGAGATTCATGATAGTTCAGATACAGCACAGACTGTGAGCCAGAAACTGCATTTTACATATTTTAACTGATTTTATCCTTATCTTTCAGAAGAGGAAGGCCCACAGAGTAACTTGCACAGATCCCCAACTACTAAATGGCAGAGCCAGGATTTAAATTCAAACATGTTGGTTTCAGCTTTATATTCTTCACTACTACACCACACTGTATTTTCAAATCCGCATGGGAAAACAAATTGGATCTGTCATGGTCCCATAGAAGAATCTAATTCTTGTATTTCTCAAGTGTACAGCCCAGTAGGAAATGGGAGGTTCCAGTCAGTGTAAACACCCCCCGCCCCCGTTTCTCACAGAAAATGGAGCTGTGTTCTGCCACCGTTATGTATCCTCCACAAACTATATCGTTTGTCATGTGAGAGACAGAGAAATTAATAATTCTTTTAGAAAGTGATTAAGGCTGATCTATTTCTTCTGTCAGATGTATTACATTCTTCGCCCTTCCTGGAACTCTGCGAGAATACTTGGTTTTAATAATAATTTCTCATCTGTCACTAAAGTAACTTCAAGAGTCTGAGCACATCCACTAAAATAATCTATCAATTCCAAGTTGTAATTTGATTCCACTTGTTGCAGGCTAAAAGACGGCTTAACTATTTTAACGTGGTAGGTTATAAAAGTAATTTTAGGACTCTGGAGTCGTCATTATACATTTCTACTACAGGGGAAATTACCTACTTAGAAAGTTGTGAAGCCACATCAAGTTTTGCTCTTCATCTCCCTGAACAGCTTTATTCCTAAATCGTATCTCCTATGAGGATGAAAAGCGGACGTCTGTGATACTAGAGCTAGCACCGTCCGTAGCGAGTGATCTGGCCCGTCAGCTTCCTGTCTTGATCAGGGACTGTGAGGAGAGGGTCAACGGTGGCCCGTGCTCTTCACGACACGTCTCGCCAAGATGTAACCCTAAGCCACACACTTTCTCGGCTACAGCAGCAAGACTCAATTCTTTTCAACTGCTAGAAGTCGGTGGCCTTGTAGAACCAATGAAAATTTCCAGGTTGAAGTGAAAGTGACTAATTTATGGAAAAATCTACTGAAGTGCTTTCTTACATGGTTCTCACACAGTGTGATGAAACAATTTTGTATAAAATAATGAAGTAGCAACCGGCCGACCTGTGGGGGACAGCAATATGTCAACGACTGCTTTGGGAAAGTGCCTTTCCTGTCTCCTTGGATCACTTTTTACAATTCCTAAAACTGTTCTCACTTCCATCTAAATATTAGTTTCGTAAGTTAAACGACTGTGCCATCAAGACTTTCCCATGACAACTCATTTTTGTCTATTTCTTTACTACCTACAGCTCGAAAAACAAAGAAAAAGATAAAAGGAATTCAGCAAGCCACTACCGGAATCTCACAAGAAACCTCTGAAAATCCTGCTAACAAAACAATGGTTCCCGCAACATTACAACTCACTCCTACCCTGGTGTCCCTACTGGAGGTCATCGAGCCCGAGGTGTTATACTCAGGATACGACAGCTCTGTTCCAGATACGACCTGGCGGATCATGACCACACTCAACATGCTAGGCGGGCGCCAAGTGATTGCAGCAGTCAAGTGGGCAAAGGCGATACCAGGTAAGATGCAAAAGGTGACAAAATGATGATACAAACCTGTATTTCCTTGGACAAAAACCCTCTGGCTTTTCATCATCCCGAACCCATGGCGTGTCCTGTTTCTCTTCATTGGTTCTTGGGACTAAACAGAGGAGAGTCCGGTACCTCCGGGAGAGTGCAGCACCGATGGTATCTTCTGTACGGCTCCTCGCCTCCTTTTACACTTAGGGTCTCAGGGAAGAAAATATATTTATTAGGATTCAGTTTGTTTTCCCTTAGTGTATTACTTTTAAAAATCAGGTTATTTGTAAAGTTGGCGAAAATCACGTGTTGACACTGTCAGATGTCCTACATGAAACGATACACCACTTCATCTAACTTTACAGGGAATTTGAAGTGAAAGTGTCCCTCCTGGAACTTGATATGGACCATCGTAGGACAGTGTTAGCGCCAACCCTGACTGTTCCACTTGAGGGACTGACAAGCTTATGATGTTCACAGAACCAAGGACAGAACAAGAATGAAATAACCTGTCATTCCTTTTCTATCACGGGGAAGGGGTACGCCTAGCAGAAGAAACAGTTAAGTTCATTGAGCAATGCCAAGAGCCAAGGAGCCGGGCATTTAGTACCCTTACTGAAATAGGCAAAAGGTGACTAAAACTTCATGGCTGTGAAGTGTTGTTACATTAAATGTTATTAAAAAGCAATGTGGGCTCTGATCTTAACCGGTAAGATAACAAACAAAAATGGTGCCCCCTTGGTGCTTGATTCTCTCTCTTAGGCGGTCCCCCGAAACAAAGCTAATTTCAGATCTGACTTTTTTGGCTGTTACCAGAGAAATGATCTCTTTGTCAGTGGCAATTCGGGTCGTTCCTTATACCTTTATTTATCTTGATTCAGGATTCAGGAATTTACACCTGGATGACCAAATGACCCTACTGCAGTACTCATGGATGTTCCTCATGTCATTTGCCCTGGGGTGGAGATCATATAAACAATCAACTGCACACATGCTGTGTTTCGCACCTGATCTTGTTATTAATGAGTAAGTCATTTTCCCTGGATGTATGAGGTATTTGTAACCAGTTGATGTTTTCCTGATAGGCTGCAATCAGGACTGATTCAGTCCTGCTAGGAATCTTGGAATGGGGCAAACCTGAAATAGATCGTGTTTATCCATGAGTGAGGAAGGCCAAGTGCAACGCAGAGCAAATACACATGTGGGGACTTATTTTTACAACAGTGGGCTTCTCTAGGATCAGTAAAGTCCACAGCAAGTTTACGGTGGCATTTTCTTTATTCTAGAACCCTATCCCAGACAGGAAAAGGAGCCTATCTAAGACACACTGATCTCACTTTCAGTGGGGACAATTCCAGAGGAAGGGATGAGAGATACAGCTCCTGAGGCAACAGGTTTCTTTTTTCCATGGTGGCAAAGTTCAGCCAATGTTTATGACTTAGAACATAGCAACAAGAATTTTTTTTAATTGAGAGAGAACTGATCAAGTGCTAAGATTTTATAATCAGCTACTCTCTAGTCCTCTGCTCCCTGTGACTTTCAGTTGTCCACCACCCGCCCCCCCACCATCTCATTGCTGCTGTTTCCTAGTTTCCTTTCTCCAGTGTATCCTCTGTCATGCCTATTAAATTTTTCTTCCTAAAGCATAATTCTGCTAGCATCAGAAATCTCCTAGCACACAGAGGTTTCCATTTCTCCTTGCTCAGCACCCAATGCACAGTCACGATTGCTGGCTTTCCAGAACCTGACCTGACTTTCTCCTGTGATTTTTCTCACATACAATTCCCCCTTCAAAGGATTGATTCTTCAGACACATCCTCGGTTCACAGTGCTCACATCACCATGTAAGACTTTTCTGCTGTATATCCTTAGCTCTTACCACTTTCTTCCTTGTATTAACCATCTCTGTGTCCAGCTCATTTCCCTTCTCAGAATGTAAACAGGGGAGTTCACATATACACACATCCCCATAGTTTGAGCACAGTTAAAAATGGAGCAGATGTGGGCCTCCCCTGGTGGTGCAGGCGGCTGAGCACAGCGCTGTGAAGCTGTCTGCAGCCTCTGCAGCGCTGGTTCGATCCCAGCCAGCGAGGGTCCCACATGGCGAGACAGACCTCTCCTGTCTCGCCCGCTGCTCCCCTCAGCAGTGTATTTCAGCAGCTCTGCCTGTTCTGTTCCCCGCTCTGTCTCTGGTGAATCCTCTCACCCTCCCATGCATCTGGCCTGTACCCCAGTTCTGGTATTAAAAAAAAAAAAGGAGCAGATGTGTGTGAAATAAGGATTTCTTTGTGAGCTCTCAGTGATACAAGGGTTCAAAAATTTTTAATAAAATCTTACATTATTAGGGCCTCCCCTGGTGGCGCAGCGGCTGAGCGCTGGGTTGCGAAGCTGCCCACGGCCTCTGTGGCGCTGGTTCGATCCCCGGCTGCTCCCCGGCCACCGGAGGAGGGTCCCACATGGCGCGCAGACCTTCCCTGCCGCCCGCTGCTCCCCTCAGCAGTGTACCTCGGTCCCTCTGCCTGCTCTGCTCCCCGCTCTGGCTCTGGTGAATTCTCTCACCCTCCCGCGCTTATGACTGTACCCAGTGCTCATATAAATAAATCTTTATTCAAAAAAATAAATAAAATCTTACATTATTAGAATAATAGTCCCATCGCATTCTGTCGATGAATCCATCGTTAGCAGTTGGTGTTCAGAACTGGATGCCCTAGTAGCAGTGCCAGTTAAAATAATTTGATAAACAGATGTTTACAAGTCATCAGGACAGCCTGAAGAAGTATTATGAAGGTAAATATTTGATCTGGGTTTGCCGGGCACAAAAACAATGTTTAGAAATTACTGAAAATACCTATTTGAATGTTAAATAGGAGGGCCTTCCTTTTAACATAGTCAGTTGTACAGTAGTAAAAACTGGATGATACCAGCTCCAGATATTTTAAAAGAAATTCTTAGGCACTGTGCGAGAACCAGCAAGTGGTGAGGTAATTTTAGATCCAGGATGCATCGCCACTGCATTTCTGCGAGCTAATTCCAAGTCCATAAATCTGGTTGGTATCTCTTAGGAAGAAGGAAACTACCTAAAGCAAAGATTTCAGGTTTTCTCTCTCTGACACTAGCTGCATAAAAGGCAACTCTTAAAAACCTAGCTGACCTATAGCGTTAGGCTTGGAATTGTTTCTCTACTGGTGATACTTAGAGTATTTACCAAATGTCAGGCATTATTGCAGGAGCTTGAGGTGTAATAGTAAGAACTAATTAGATGTCTCCCTTTATAATATTGTGATGGGAAAATAATAGTGTGACTAGGGCTTGGAATATGTGTTACTTTAGACTTTGTGACCATGTAGCAAAATAGTGAGCTTTGGAAAAGCATGGCATTCCAGGCAAAAAAAGTAAGTGCAATGGCTGGAAACCATCTTGGTATATGCGAGCAACCGAGAGAAAGCCACTGAAGGTAATGTGAACAGGGGCCAATGAAGCATAAACTTCTGGACTATGAAATGGAGTTTAGATTTTATTTTAGGAGCAAGCAGCTGCCAGTGGAAGGTTTCCCAAGAAGAGAAAATGGAGAATGGGTTAGTGGGGAATGACCGAAACTCATCACACTACTAACTTGTGCCAGGTACATAGTAGCAAAGAATAAAACAAGGTAGGTTTCTGACCTATCTTTCTTACTTGTGTCTCCCCAACTAGATGTAACTTCCAAATAGATATCAAATTAACATAGGTCTTTTGTTTTACAAGAGGGAGATCAATCTTAGATATGGTGACTAATGTTGGAGGAGGTGTCATTTGAGCTGAGTAGACCTAAAAGGAAAGAACCAGGCTTTATAGTGAGAAGCAATATAACAAGAGGCATGTGCATGCTGCAGTCACTTTCAATATAGTCCAAGAAGGGGACATATTTTTGCTCTCAGCTGGTAGACTCTGCCATATGCTTCACCAAACCAGAACTCCACTTTTGCATCTGTGTCAGAGAAAAAGTCACCTGGACTATCACTTGCCAAGCCACAGCATTGCAATGTAACAAGATTTCAGTTGTCTGGATCAAATTTTAACAGAACAGCAGTTACCAGAAGGAGAGATTGGCGGCAGGAGGGGTGAGAGTGGAGGATGCAAAAGTAGTCAGATGTACAGGATGGAAACTAGACTTTCAATGGCGGTCATTACTGTTGTAAAAACATATGTAACACACTAAGTTATACACCTCAAATTAAAGCAAAAACTTTTCGATAATAAAATGGTCATCAGAACAGAAACAGGCTGAGCAGACAGGGGCCAGCTATATGGTGGTAGGTGGAAACTAGACTTTTGAAAGTGATGATAATGTAGCATGTACAGATGTTGAATTATAATGTTGTATCTCTGAATCCTGTACAAACCAGGATAATTTACAGACCAGTTAATTTTAATTAACTGAAACAAATTTAGGTTCTCTATAATAATCTCCAAGATATTCAAAATCAGGGTATGGTGCTCATTTCAGAATACAACCAGGCTTACTTAAAATGTGTTAACAATAGTCACTATTTGGTCACTTCCTAAAATGCACTTTGAAGTCCTTTAATTAGGATTAAAATTGAACAGATTACATGAAACACAATTTATTCTTCTAATAACATTAAACGAATTTAAGGTTTTCATTATTAACTTAAAATTTAGACCTAAACAGTCACAACATAACCCAATCATGCCACATACATTTCTTATTGCAAAGTAGAAATTATAGAAATTTTAACCAATTTACCTTAGTTTCACTTATAAAGATTTCAGCTAGTTATTAAAGGATTACTTTCACTCGGTGTTTATCTCCACTGGAGGGAGGACACTACAAAGAATAATCATTTTGAAGAGCACATTCTTCCCATTCTTATCTGTTTATTATACTGCTGTTATGAGATGTGCAGCCTCTACCTCTTTCACTACCTACTCCGCATACCATACTGCTCTGGTGGTGGTCGCAGGCAGATTGTGGGTGTCAGAAAATTATCACATACAAGTTCTGAGCATGTGTGTAGCTGTAAAGCAGAAAGAATGTCCTTAGGCCTGAATGTTATGAAAATTACTTTTTCCAAGCAACTGCAGTGATTTCATTAATATTCCTACTATATTGTAACTGTTGAAACTACCATGTAGAAGGAACTAAAGGAGAAAAAGATACTGCCCAGAAAAGGAAAGGTAAATTTCCATTATGGGTTAAGGAAGGTCTT